AGCTATGAGGTAGGATTAGGAAGAGAAAATAAGTAGATTTTATTGTGGTAATATTGAAAATGTAGGCACTATTTTGAAAGTAGTAGTATTTTTTTGCTTAAGTGTACTATATCATGGTGTATTTGTTTCTGTCTTTTTGAAAGGATAGGGAGAGGAGATCTGTGTAGTATTTAATAATATTATTTTTTGTGATTATTAGGCGGATAAAGACACATTTACCAGGAGCAAAGGAGAAATGGGATTTAAATGAAGAGCCAAAAGCATCCGAACAAAACAGGGAAAAGATAGCAGAATTAGAGCTAGAACAGACAGTTAGTAATAATGATGTTGATGATGATGATGAAATTATTTTATTAGAAGATAAAAGACAGATTAAAGGTACTTGATGAACAAACTGAACTTATCAATGATCATGTGTTAAGAATGAAAGGCATCAAACAACAAGAGAAAGAAGTACTACTGCACTGTTGCACTACCCATATATTAATAATATAACAATGCTCTTATCTTCATTCATCTCTATTATGATCTGTAGCTTCATTCTGATATCACTGAATCAGATGATTTAACTATTTACTGTGCAACGTGCAGTAAACCAATCGTACTAAAAAAGGCCCTAGTACATATGGAGAAATGCTTCAATAAAGTAAACTTGGCATAAATTAAATTTCAAGTCTTCTCTGTTCTTAACTCTTCAGGTAGAGGGTATGGTATCTTTTGGTTCAATAGTCAAGAATGAAGGGTATGGAATCTCTTCCTTTTTTATTATGTATTGCTTTTTATAAACTATCAATTATGCTTTCTTTCTTTCTTTGCATAGTATTAATATTTTCTGTGACAAGTACGACAGCTCCCAGGGAACTTACTGTAAGAGGTTGAAGGTTCTTTGTCCTGAGCACACCAAAGAGCCAAAGGTTAGATCAAAATTAATATTTATCATCTTTCATTTATTATTCCCCCCTCTCTCTCTCTCCTAGGTTGCACCACACGAGATTTGTGGGTGCCCATTGGAATCGGATTTCCCTGGAAAGAAGAAAGTTTGTTCAGTTTTCTGTCGTTCGTTAAAGGAGAGCTGCTCTGTCCATTACTGCTGGGAGAGGTTGAGGAAAGCTGAGATTGACCAGGAGAAGCTAAACCTGGTAAGGCGCTAGTGAAAATATTTTTTGGAGCAATTTTGTGTGACTTCTGTTTTATCATTTCAGTATTTAAAGCTTGAAGAGCTAGGAGAGCAAATGAGACTATTACAATGGCAGCTAAGCTATAGGAAATCACTAATGGCCATATTACTTCATCACACTGTTGACCATTCAAAAGACAGGAGCACTTTTACTACTAATGTTCAATGAAAATTTAATTTATACTTAGATACCACGTGGTTGGAGTATACGGAGTAAAAACGGAAACAAAAATTAATAGGCGGGGCTGTTGAGAGAGAAAAAGTTAAAGAACTGAAATCTGTACTGTAATCTGTTTGCAAAGAGAGTTGTAGCTCGGCTAGTAGGCACAATGAGTCATCCAGTAGCTA